ATAGAGTTTGATGTCTATTTTTATTGAAATAAGTTTTTATTTTCTAGTCAAAAGTCAATCAGACTTAGCCTAATCGTTTATCTCTATGGCATAAATGCTTGATGTCAAAGGAAATAATTCCTACATTTTCATGACTTCAAAGACTTTAAATAGAGCATAATGTTATATATCTAAACAATTGTTGTAGTTACTTGATAGATATTCACACGAGATATAATCCTTCTAGTTGACGAAAGTCGAAAATACTTTATGATTCTCAGTGAAACGTTTAATTGTAACTTAGTGTTTTCTTAAAAGAATAGTTTCACTGACTTCAATAGCAAAATAAATGTCTTGTTTTTTTCAACAGATTATAATGAATGATTGATTGAAGAATTACTTGTTTTTTTACATGAAAAACAATTCTGCAACGCTGTCTAGCTGATAACTAAATTTTCTCATAGTACAATTGTTCTTTAATACCTATGATAGGTAATCTGATTTGATTAAACAGTATTGAATTTCTTTGAGAAGAACCATTAAGTGATAAACGTTGAACTTTATCAGGCCGACAGAAAAGACCACGATTAGCATCCGTTTCAAAATAGCGAATACCACCATGTGAACCATCTAAAGGAAATAAAGAGATTCACTTTTTGAATATACAATTCTGGATAAAAGTAGCTGTTGCTACCATCATAAAGTCTTATTATTCTTCGTGACATATTGGGTGCATAGGTGCAACAATAAACAGGCTATCCGTTTTTTCACGTGTACTGAGGTGATGATTCAAAACAAATATTTTTGCTCAACCTCTCATTTGAAAACCCAATGTCGTAGCTAACTATAGTTTAAATTTTATGAGAAATCGCTTTAAAATAGCTGAAATATTGTTTTATCTAGCGCTACGACATGAATTCACTATTTCAGAACGTGCTAATTACTAAGACCTTGACTCTGTGTCATCGGCTTTGATAATAATAAAATGGACATATAGGATAAGATCTAGCACTAGAAAAAACACTAGTAACTAGTGGAATAGTAAAATGGCAAATGAAAACTTTTTCAGTGAATCTTTTTTGCTGAACATGTTTTGCATAAGAGAAAGAAAATGTGTGAATCATAACTCCAGTACATATGAATCGATGGAGGATGGGTTGATGTTTGCGGTCATGGCTTATTGTCGCGCATATAAACCCAAAATATCAGCTCAATATTATAAAGAATAGTAAAACTTAATGGGTAACAGCTATTTTTATTTAACACGATATTTACCATTTTTGCCTTGTGCTTCATCAAGATTAATTCCAAGCCATTCGCCTATTTTATAAAATTTAATTTCATAGAAAAATAAATAATTAATTAACATTAATCAAACCTTCCGCAAAATGTGTCGAACCAATAAATACTATTGTTCCTGATGCACCATGAATACTAACTCGATCGCCGATTCTGAATTGGTTATCTGGTGAATTTTCTCTATGCGAATTTCTTTGTTGAGAATTTGTTGTCGTTCCGAGTTGACGAAAAACGACTTTTGTTGGTGAGGATGATGGTGATGAACTCTGTGTCGATGATTTACTCATATAGAAATCTAGAAAATATTGATTTCAAAGTTTACTTAAACTGAATACAATTGCTTATTTCTAACAAATGAGAGAATCTCCTCGAATGTTTCATTCTGATTTCTATGGTTTTGTTTGTCCATAAATACTGCACCGAATTCTAATAAAAATTCTAAAAGAATTTATTTTGGAGACTTCTGTAGGATCGAAGATTTTTCTGAAAATTTGCATTTTTGAACTTTGAGCTACAAGTTTGTACATATAAAGAACGCAACTAGATGAACTTCAATAAAAAAAAATCCAAAGTTTGGAACAATGTCTGTTCAAGATATGATAAACTCAAGATAATATACCCCATTCAATGAATACTAGATAGGAAATGCGTTTTTGAAAGTTTGACATCTCGAAAATAATTTATACAAAACTTCTGAATTCTTTTATTGAAGCTAGTCGGACTGACTTCTCTATATGCGCAAAATTTTAGACCGAAATTCAAAAATATGAGGCTTTCGAATATCTAGGTTCTGTTTAAAAAAATTCTACAGCCTAGTGATATTTCAATAGGAACTCAAACCCTTTTAGAATTTTTGTAGAAGACTATGTGGTATCTACAGGCAAAAATGTCATTGAAACCGGAAGAGAACATCTAAAGAAGATCCGTCGTCGTTAATATTGTTCTGTTCGATAATGAAGTCGATCCAATATTGCATATTCATATTATAGTCGCTTAAGCTTCATATTTCAAATCGTTGATCTCTAACGAAAATATTATTAATTTTTTGTTTTATCAACAATTCAATGTTATCTAAAAGGTACAACAAAGCACACAAGTATTACAAGCCAATATAAAGCAAATTAATACGAGCAATATAACATAAGATTGAATTCAAATAGTAGAAGTATTCATAACTTTCATTCCCTTGAATTCAATAACTACACAATTATGTTGGCGATTGAATTTTGAAATGACATTTGATATATACTGTTCTTCCACTTTGTTTCAAAAACATACGTATTGTACATATCTCTATTTAATTGTAGTAAAGTCTTTCCAAAAGTATTCACGTTCGAGAGATGATCGTCGAATTTCATCGTATTTGTTTCTATGTTATCCTTTAATGGAACTAGAGTCTACTTGAATATTCAATGTTTTATAATTCTTGCTTGTTGCCACATGATCGTTAACTTGTAACTATTTTTGTTTAGTTTTATTTTGATGATTGTATCATATTGTTATCAGACGATAGTTATCATGTATTCTAGATAAGCATATGTCATAATGAACTATATTGATAGCAATCACGAGATATTGTTAAGTTGATATTTCACAAAATAATCATCTTTTACAAGTTACAGAATATATTTTAGTGTCAAACTGTTTTTATGTTGAGAAAACATTAGTTTTACTCAATCTACTTAGAATGGAACGTTACCAACTTTCTAACCAATTTTCATTTGAAACTATTGCCATTCGATAGGTTTTTATTTGGCTTACTGATATTAGCAGCTTGTTGAATTATGAGTGTTTCACTTAGCTTTTGAGCTATGAGCACAGGATCGCTGAGGATCTGAATGCTTGAATTTTGAGCTATGATTTTGTCCGTAGATGAACGTTGTAGTTCATATAAACTCGTAAAATTTGGAGCTAGAACAAACGTATTCTCTGCTAAAATATTCACATTTTAAAGACACACTTATTTTGCAGTGTGTTTCAAACGAAGGAATATTTTAATAACAAGCTGATATCTCGACAAGGATACGTTTGTTCTAGTTGAACCCTTGAAGAATTTCTAATGACTATAAGATATATTTATTGATAAATGTCAGCTCAAAATTCTATCATCCAAGCTCTCTCCGATACATGCTCATACGATACAAACCGAATCATATGACAATAACCCAGCAAGTGAAAATCAAGCCATCGAATCAGATGAGACTATTTTAATACTCATATGGACTAATCGAACAGTAATTAAGAAACACCACGTGAGAGTTAGAAATATTTTCTTGTAAGCAGCATAAATGTATAAAAATCGAAGGTATTTTCATAAGTAATAAGAGAATTTTCTTAATAACATTAATTTATTGAGATGATTTCAAATTTTTCGTTACACATCGAGAAGTTGCAATATTCGTCATCAAAATTAATTAAAAAAATATAGATTTCAAAAGATTGTAGAATTGAAACAGGTATTTTCAATTGATACACAATGGAACAGATGTGTAATCTATGGAGAATGAAAGCTTGAACAAAACGTTGTTATGATAATATTCTTTTTATCATTACTTATAGTTAGTTTAACGAATAAATATGTTTATTTGTATAATCGAAAATTCAACAACTCTTTGTTTTTTATTAATTAATCCATAAAAAACATAGAGTTATTATTATTTTTTTGCAAAAACAAATATTTGAAAATATTATTGTCAAAAAGGAAAAAAATCAAATCAATTATCTAATCATCGAATTCTTTATAATCATCATAGCAATTTGAGCAATCATATATATTCAGCTTATGTATTCCTTACAGTTTTCCTTTTTATCTATCATTTAAAATTTCTAAGATTTGTGATGTTGAAATATTGTTCATATTTTCCAAATGATGATATTTCTACTTTATACTGAAAATAAATACAAATTGATTTTAAACTTAATCAATAAGTTTGGTTTTTTTGTTTTTATGTATAACGAAGTAAAAAAATAAATAAAATCGATGCAAGCATGCCAGAGAATTATTAGAAAACAGTTAATTATAAAATCTAACATATAATTTTTTTTGATTTGTTAATTGAAACACATATCACAACAAGAAAAAGTAAATAATCTTAATACTATTCATAAGAAAATACAAAGTTTGAAAATAGATTAAATTATTTTCAGATGTATATTTTTAGAATTCCATATTTATATATAATAGTTTATTATCTATTGATTTTGTTGATTTCTAAGTTTTTCTTTAATAATATAACTACTTGGACGACATTCTGGTTTTTCAGTCCATAATTCTTGACATGAAGTAAATATATTACAAAAAGTCTAGAACAAAGAAAATTTTCATCCGAAATTTTATATGATGAATTATTTTTACTGAATTATTTTCCCATCGAGGTGAAGATTCAGGTCGAATTTTTTTTATACATACAACTTCATGCATTTGCTCAAATGTTGGATTATTTGGTAAAACATCTTGATAAGGAAGTTTATATTCATCAGCATCATTGTCTTATAAATCGAATTAAATAAAAGAATATTTTAAAAAAACTCATTTTTATAGAAACCCGCTGTAGTTGTTTGACATCTTCGTAATATTTCCCAAAAAACAAGTCCCAATGCATAAAGATCAGTAGCTTTATAAGATTCAAAAATTTGCTCATTGAGTGTTTTATCAAGAATTTCTGGTGCCATATAACCTAAATAAAACAAATGTATAAATATTTTTTTCATATTTCATCTTCTTACGTATTGTACCAACACGATGATGTGGTTTAACATCAATAACAATACGTTCTTTATTATTATTATTATTATTACGTAAATCACTATTTTTTGGACGAACTTCGCTAACGGCAAGACCTAAGTCTGCAATACAACATGATAAATCTTTTTTAACCAAAATATTTTTTGTTTTTAAATCTCGATGTGCAAGTGCAGGTTTTCCTTTAAAAGAAAAAAAAATCAAAATTTTATTTGTAAGAAAATATTTCGGAGAAAAAAAATATAAACCATTTGTTGCCTCAATAGATATATGTAAATAAAAAAGACCATTAGCAATAGTAAACATCATATTAATCATAATTGGAATTGTTATTGTATGATTCTGAAGATAATCATAGACAGAACCATTTTCATGGTATTCAGTACCAAGCCAAAGTTCAATACGATTTGAAGAGTCCTTAAATAAAATTTTTTTGTTGATATATTATTTCAATTCCAAGAGAGAGTGTTATCTACAACGTACGTCCAGATAAAAATCGCATTTTTTTGGCCTATTTGACTTTCTGAACGTTCAAAATTTAAAAAAAACGTAGCTTTCTAATCAGAGTGTGATTGTTCAAAAATATCAGTTCATTTTTATTAAATCACTATATATTTAGAAATATAAATGAATATGAATAGAAAAAACAAAAATATAGCTTATTGTAAAATTTTTGCTGATTAAATACATTTTATTTTATTAAGCAGAAAATAGCAAATAAAAGCTGTGAGCACAATCTTTATAAGACTGTAATGTGAAATACAATGGAGTTGCTGTTGCTAATCACAGGCAAATTATTTTATTCTTTCTATGGTGAGACATATCTCTTCAACATCTAGATGTTATTGATTTATGATCTACGATCGTATATGAATAACCTCTGTCATAGTCTGCAGTAGGGACCCAATTTCCATTCCTGTATTTCAATACTTCTTTTAGATCGTGTTTAACAATATAATGAAGTTCAATACAAATGGCAATCGAAATTCTAATAATGTTCATACTGTTGCACATGTAGCGTAATCTTAAATTATTTCCACCCCATTTTCATAGTCAATTAATTTATTAAGCTTATGCCCTAGTTAAAAATACTCTTAAAAATAAACTCAGCTTTAAAATTTTGCACAAACTTATGATATTTATTGTAAATTTTTGGATATCTTTTACCGATAGTCTCTAATCAATCAGCTCAATATTTCTCTAAAAAATTAGAAAGTTTTATACATAAATATAATTACAATAATTTAGAATTTGAAACATCAGCCTACATCGAACAATACGATTACGTCAACAGTCGTATTCACATTTTTCGCAACGCGATCTAAAATGTGTGTGAAAATATTGAGATAGATATATGGACTCTCCTTCTATCCCCACAAACTTGACAAATATTGTTGATATACGATTACAGACCTTATATTAATAATGTGTCGCAATCATATATGAACTATTTCCTGGTTGCATTTCTCGAGAACTTAATAAAAGGATAACGATTTGTTTGTCTCTATCTGAATGAACATTTCATTATCGGAATTCACCTTTCAGGTTTGATATACATGCAATCAACAGCGAAAGTCAAATATTTTAAGTAGAGAATACACTGCTTAAAATTTAGACAGCTAACATTCAAAAAAAACGTGAGAGATTAAGAATGTATGCAACTTGAGCTTTACGGGTCGGTTCATATTTCCTAATCCTATACAGTGACTATAATCTATCACTGAAGTGTCTAAGTGAAGGGTGTACGACCAATTCCGGATTATGAGGGACAGATGTAAGCAAGAACACTTTCAAAAGCACTGGTTGGAATAATTACTTGATTGATTTGCGGAAACGTTATGTTGTTTTTTGTCTCATAGATATCATGAGTATCTATGGGACCGCATTGAAAACTTAAACACATCTATTGATTTCGGACAAATCGTTGTGACGAATTATTAACATTAAAAACAATCTAATAACAACATAATAATTAAAGACGTGAATCGAATAATAATACAAAAAAACACGTCATAATTCTTCTGATTACTAATTATTAAATCTATTCATTGATAATATCAAACTATGTCGACTAGAGAAAAAATCAATTAAAGATAAAAAGAAAAAGAAAAGATGATCGAAAAAACGACTTGAAATGATTGCCTTGAATACTTACTATATTATCAGCAGCAATGTATCGAAGAACATTTTCATGATTTAAACGGAATTCTTCATAAATATAAACTTCACGTCTCCATGAAGGTTCTTCATTTGATAAACAAATTTTTACAGCAATTGTATCTTGATGCCATTTGCCCCGATAAACAGCACCATAAGCACCAATGCCAATATAGTTTTTTTCTAATATTACTTGATTTGCGAACTTGGTTGGTCCTAATAGAACAGCTTCTAAACAAAAAAAAACAGTTTATTTAAATATATTCCTTATGTTTTCTCAGATAACTTACTGTATTCGTCTGAACTTCTTGATATGTCATCCGGATATGGATCACTATGGGTACTAGTTCTTAAAAGTTTTGATCGAGACGAAAACGAAATGCATAAGCATGATTTTTTATTCGATTCAATAGCTTTATCATGAATCAATGACTTTTTTCTGTAAAAAAAAAAAGAAAATATTTTATTTATATGAAATTTATAGATCTTTGAATACATACTTTTTTCGTTTAATCTGAAATAAAACCAATACAAATAAAAAACAAAATAATAGAATAGATGAAATGAATATTGTTCTAATGAGAGATTTATCTTAAAAATAATAACGAATAATTATTTATATGTATAAATAATTTTTAAATATGTTTAGAATTACTTGGTAATAATTTTTTTCGTATATCACTTGAATATGCATCACGATCATTGCAATAATCCTCGTCTGAACAACAAATAATATATCGACTTGTTTGATTACCGTTGCAGAAAATTTGCGTAAAAAAGAATTCATTATAAACACATCTAAAGAAATAAAATGTCGTCAAATATAATGAAATAGATATATTTATACCCAGCTGTGACATGAATAGTATTGTCATAAGGATCTTTCGTCCAACTTTCATAACAAACATGATCAACATGTGTTAAACGACATGTTTCAGTATTTGAATCACATTTTTCATCTTTAGTACAGAGACATGTTATATTTGTTCTTCGTTGTGTGCCATCAATGAGAAAAGATACGATATCGTCATAGTTTTCTTGACTAATGACAGTTAAGCAAATAAGAATAGTAAGAACGAATATTTTTTTAATCATCTAAATATGAAAAACTGTTTTATGAAATATATATTTATATTTTGTTTTTCGTTATCATGAAAACAATTTAAATTATTCATAAGAAAATAACCTTTTTTTAAACTTATATTCTATAAATATTATATTATCAAATGTAAAAAACCGTAGAACAAAAAACTCGTTGAGTTCTCCTATGCTAATAGAGTGTTGACAACATTGATAGGAAAGAAAAATAAAGCATGAGAATGTTTATTCTTGAAAAATTTTTCTTTTTTATTACAACATTTTTCTTTTATATTATTCTGGTGAAAGATGTCGCAATGTATTGACATCAAAATAAATGGTTATCAAAACCTATTTGCGAAAAACCAAATATTGAAAGGATGTATAAAATATCGCATTTCATTCAAATGTAATGTGTTAGTAATATAATAGCAATGCATATTGAAGCAAAACTTTCATTTTGTTTCACGGTGTCAGTTAGGATGAAGGTAAACGAATTCATATATATTTCATTCTATCGTTAAAATTCGAATGGATTAAATAAAATATCTTAAATTGTTGGAGAACAATCAAATGAATTATAAAAATTCATCCTTTAATCTCCTGCTTTGCGATAATCAAACCAATGTCTTCTGTATTAGTTTTTTTATGCAGGTTTGAACGGTTCATTACTTTGATTTAGAAAAAAAGTTTTTGTTTCATACGGATCGGATAACTAATATGTTTAAATTCATCGTAAATAGCTGATTATGTGAGAGTAATTTTTGGTACTATTCAAGTATGGCATCATAAAATGAGCGAAAAATGACATTTTAACATGTGTCTTGCACAACTATGACTCTCGTAACTGAATCTGAAATATGAAAAAGTATACTATTTAGTTTCTTTCATAAACAGCAATAAGAAAAAAAACAAAATCATCCTGCATCCTATTAAAAAAATAAGGTATTCAGAATTCACTTGATGTCGTTCTGCTTCTAAAATCCGATCGATTTCAGTAAGTATACTTTTGTTGATTGCTGATGACGGTGGAAAAGAATGAAATGTTGTTGCAAAACAACATACTTGGTGATACAAACATGAATGCACTTCCCATTCCAATAATACATGTTCACATATTTAAAAATTCATTTTCCTCTCCATGTATTATATTACTTCATCATGCAGCTCATCATCATCATCATCATCATCTATAAATGAATTTTCTTTATGAAACAATAAACATATTTTCAGACGTCAACATCTCATTCATTGTCGAGCTGGGTACGACCACGAAATTATACCTGAGACCCAAATCCATGCTTGAGGTCAGGTACCCAAACTTATTGCAGGACACTTATTTCAACTGATCGGTGCAAATTTTTTGCAAGCTATCTAATTTTTTTCTATATTACAATCAGGACGAAAAATTTAGTCAAATAGAATGGCTTCACCCGATTTCCCAAGACTTTGATTGATCGAAGATTTCTGATCTTAGGCAAAAAGATCATAAGTTTTCATGAAAAAATGGAAATGAAAGAAAGACTCGAATGCTTTTACTGTTTCAGAATCTACCATTTTTGCCGTAAAATGGCTGAGATTTGTTGAAAAAACTTTCATATTATTGGTAGAATTTCATTTTTTTTGGAGAGTCTTGAACTAAAGCTGAACAATATTTTTCTTCAAGAAAGTGATATTTTGGAAAACCTAAGCTATACCGTAGAATTATAATGTTTAGTAGTTACAACTGAACTTAAAAATTAGATACACTATAAGATAGTAAAGACTAGATAGCTGTGTAAAAATTTTCACCGATCGGTTGAAATATTACTTGCCACTCATTTTATGAGGAGGACATACTTGAATAGTACCAAAAATTAGTCTCACACAGTCAGTTTTATAGGACAAATTTAAACATGTCAGTTATTCGATCGACAGGAAACGAAAAAATAAACCATTCAAGACTATCAATAGTTTTTGAAGAAAAAACTACGATACGCGAATTCTTACTCAACTCGTGGAATTCTATCGAACTACGTGTAAACAAACGGCAAAAAAAATTACTTTAATTTTTTGTACTTACGTTAGCTTCTAAAATTATTCGACTAGATTTACTTTCAATTTTTTCCCACTGTCGTTAACGCTAATAAATATTCAAATTGTAATTACAAACTTTTCAATAGTAGAATCTCTGAAAAAAATCAAAATCGAAGTTGAAATTTGCAAATATATTTCTATTTTAATTACTTTGAATGATAGAGCAAACCATACTCTACAAAATGAAACATTTTTCATATTATTACGACTCTTTCTGACCAAAATAGAACAATACTATGTATAGCAGACATAGTATGTTTCAATACTCAATAGCACAAAAATAAACAATGACTTTTGTGCCTTTCGTACGATTGATTTATTGATCTTAGTCAAAAAACATCGTAAAAAATTATTTGGTCTATCATTCTGGATAATTTAATCGGAATTCTAGGAAACTCAAAACTAGAGTTAAGTATTTTTCAGAGATATTATCTCTGCAAGTTTAGTAATCATTTTTATCTTCGAAACCTTTTGTTAGAAATAAAATTTTCTACACAAATCTCTATCTGGCTGCCTTATTAACATTTATCAAAGTGAAAAAAAGTTGAAAATAAGCCTAATCAAATAATTTCAGGAGACATCATTATAAAAATTCAGCAAGATATTAATACGCGCTATTAAATATTTGCATTTTCTTACATTTTTATACAATGTCATATGCACTTAATAAAAATTTTTCTGAAACACATTTTCGTACGGATTCTCAAATAGATAATCGAACAATACATTCTAGTTTATCAACACCATTATCAATATCATTTATCGATTCATTTGAACATCGTATTATAACTAATGTATTTCAACAGATGCCAACAATAATTAAAACATTAGCTAATCTTTGTCAAATACTTGATGATTATCCATTATCACAAATAAATATTGAACAAATTCAACAGGGAACATTTAATTGTATATTATGGAATGAAGATCAATTATATCCAATAGCAATTGATCAAAATAAATATTTAATTAAATTTCGACAATTAATACGTGAATATATTCATGAATTTCTTGAATTTGCACAACAAATTCTTATTTTTTCAAATAAAAATAATGAAATAAATTTTATAATACAAAAATCTATGAAATATTTAAGTTTTTTAAATAATTATCGAATAAAACGACAATTAGCATATAATAATTTTTCTCAAAATTATACATTTGAAGATTCAATGTTAATATTGAGTAATATTGATAAACAACAATATTATGAACTTCGTTTAATTGCTTTAAATTTACGACAATTTTTTTTAAAATTAATTAAATTTATTAGTCCAAAATTTTCAATGTTAGAATAAAAATGAAGAAAACAATATAGTTACTCACAATAGATAGTTTATTTTTTCGATAATATCAAACCAGTAGTTAATCTTTTTGTTGTATGAATAATATTCTCGTTGATAAATCGGTTATAAATATAGGTATACACATATTGACCTTGTATAGCTTGCTGTTTTTTGTTGATTTTATGGACTACTTGATTGGTTATAGTAATTTTTTCTTTTTTTTTTCTTTGGGCTAAATGAAATTAAATCAACCACGTACATTGCAAGGTATACATGTATTTATTTGCTTGTCTTTTCTCTCGTAATGATGTTTTGATACAGTAAGTTTCATATATTTTTTATTTTTATCTCTTTCAATGATTGTTTATGTATGTATATGATAATCGATACCCACTTGTACGAAAATACGTTGAAAAAATATGATGTATCCATTTTTCATAAAATATTAAGTGACAACTGATTTATTCTTTTGTTCGTATAGGGATTTTTCTCTTGTTTACATGGGAAACTACCAGAAGATAGGTAAAAAGTATGTCGAGTGAAATATCAAAGAAAAGAGGGGACCAATAGATATGATGAAAGAGTAAATTATTTTTTTTTCGTATGCAACACTTCCTACAACTGACGGTCTAGATGTGATATGACCACGTGGTAATGAACAAGAACAGAAAAAGTTATCATTTATGTCGATATACATAGCACTAAGACGTATTTTCTTTTCCATTTTTCTTCATTTAACTACATGCAACGACGAACTGAATTTGAAAAAGATATGAGACGTACACCTCCATCTCCATCACCTCGTTTTTCACGTACATTTGATTTACTTTTGAGCCGAGTAAGATAAATACATATTAAATAAAATAAAATAAAAAACACTTTTCAAATATTTTGAAAATTATTTTCAATTTTTATATATTAGTTTCCTGATTCAACAGATTTATCAGTAAATTCAAATCATCAGATATCACCTGTAAGTCTTTTTTTATTTTATTTTTTTTTACTTGTTATAAAGTAGAAGATTTCGATTTAAGAGACTGCTTTTTTTCTAATCATTTTGTTTTTTTTTTTCATAGATTATGGCATCGAATAGAGATAGTTTTCAATCTTCAAAAGATAATGAAAAATCTGGCAACCAACCAGGACAATGGCGAGCATCAATTTCAGCACCATTATGTGCATTTTGTAATAAAACTGTTTATCCAGCTGAAGAAACTATTGGTGCTGGACAAAAATTTCATAAACTTTGTCTTAAATGCAGTAAAATATTTTTTTTTTTGTTTTATTGATCTTCTAAATTTCATCTAATTTTTTTCTTTAGCTTCATGCCATATATTACTTAATTCACGTAGTTTAAATGAACGTGACAAAAAGCTTTATTGTGTAGGTTGCTATAGTCGTCTATTCGGTCCACGAGTTGGTAAGAATTTGTTTAATATGAAAAAAATCATCTTTATAGATATTATTTTTTATACAGTCTCTCGTAGTCTTGCAACATCATTTCCATCGAATTTGGACACACCACCAAGTAGTCCGAGTTCAAATCGAGAAGATATTGATTTCAATAGTGAATTACCAAATATGGATGATCACCATTTTTATCATAAAATATCAATGCATTCGTCACCATCTAATATTTCATCTGATGAAGATTCA